CATCTCTTATGTTTTGTAGTCTGTTTTTTATTAAATCTAATCTTTCTAAAATCATTTGTTGATCCGGAGTGGGTAAGGTTCCAAAAGAACAGAGAAGCCTAAACCTAGCAGCAAGACTTGCCTGCAGTAAGCCCTGGACTGAAACTCTTCAGTTTTAACTTTGCCACACGCCCCGTACTGCTGAAATAGCACCCAAATTTTCAGCAAATTTAGCTTGATTTGGCATACTTTATCTACAAAGAATGAGTGAAAGATTTGGAGCTTTAAGTTGAGGAGAAGTGTTTCGTTGATACAGTACCGGGGGTGGGTGGGTATCAAATTCAAACTCACAATTAATGCTAGAGAAATTACTTCGTATAACAGTAAAAAGATGAAATTCGCAGCACAAATATACTGTCCAAAGACAGGCATTATTTGATTCTTAAGTGTATCTACATCCTACACCCAGGTATCACTTTATCAACACTATGAAATGAGAACCGTACATCCTTGCTGAAAGAAACAAATCTACGGCTTCTAATTCTATCAGGTGTATCTTTCTGCAGGGATGATCACATAGCCGTTGTCTGCAAATCTTTAAAGCAGCAACAGCATCTTGGGGCCATATGGTTGCCTCCGCAGCTATATCTGATTCTGGGAAATATCACATTTGATTGAAAGTTGTGGCCAAGCGCTGCATCCACACTGCCTATGCACACTCTAAAGCACTTTTTTGCCTTCAGATCTGAAGCATTGCATAGCCCTGCTTTGTCATTGTGTCAGCCTCTGAAATCAGTGGAGTTGTTGCAAAATAATCAGTGCCAACACTTACGTGGCTGAGGAGGTGGACGCATTTCTGAATGGCGATTCCTCATCTCTTCCATCAGAGCCCTAGATGGACAAGAGACAGCACCAGAATGGCTTTCAGTAGGAAATGGCAGAAGAGTGAGCTGTATTGCCTCTGACTACAGACTCCATTTCCAACAAAACACTACAGAAGTTAAACATGAGCTGTGGTAGAAAAATGGCTCTATTCCAGGTGTACAAGGGTTTCTTTCTTTCCATCCTCTACCTACTCACCGGCTGACTCCTTCAGAGTCAGCTTTCAGCTTCTCATTCTCTCTCTGCAATTGTGCAACTTGTTCCACCAGGGTCTCTCGCTGTTCATGCAGCTTTTCACGAGCCTGGCGCTCTGCCAGGAAATCTGTCTTGAAGATATCAGCCTGAATGGAAAGGACAGGATGAAGTTCCCATTACCTCTCATGTTGCACCGCTCACAAACACACCCAGGAATTCTCTAACATAGTGACATCATACTCACCTGTGCCTTGAGCACAGGCACAGTCTCCATAATAGTTTTGTGTTGTTCAGCCTCCTCCTTCAGCTTGTCAATGAGCTCTTGCTTGGCCACCAGAGCCTCTTCAGCCTGCTGCAGTTGCTGAGACAGTTCAGCAACCTGCAGATCCAAGCCCTGAGGAGGGGACAAGAAGACTACAATTACAATGTTGACACTATGTGCAAAGAAACTTTTTTCCTGGGGCAAGAGAAGGTTGTCCCATCCCATATTCTAGCTCCCACTTATCCACAGCATCAAGATTTTCCATTACAATTTATCTCATGTCTCCCACCTTGCTTCGCTTCTCACTTTCCAAGCTGGTCTTGATATGGGTATCATACTCTTGGAACAGTTGGTGATAGGCCACCTGCACTTGGGCTAGTTTTCTCCTAAATGGGAGGAGAACATACAAATTGCCACAGGACTCAGTTTGACTGCTGCTATCAGGAATGCCCTCTCTTCCTTTGGCTCTGCCCAAATCACTTTCACACTCACTTTTCCTCTGTGGCACTCTGTCGTTCCACTCGCAGAGCGCTCTCAAGGTTTTGCACCTGTAGCCGTAACTGATCCACCTGTACGCTGTGCTGTTTGGTGCGGACTTCAGCCTCCTTTTCAAGCTGTTGCAGTCGTTCACCAGCCCCACGAACCCTGTAGAGATGGCATGCACACAGGCATCTAGCTCTGCTTACCTGCCAAAGTTCCAGTGTGGACAGAATTACCTTGAACCTTTGACCCCAGCAAGTACGCACCATGACAACACTAGATCCAGCATTGTTTGATTCAGTAAGTTTTCAACACAGCTTCCTGAGTCTTCACCATCATGTTCAGGGGCATCATCCTCTTCTGTGGCTTCACATGGAAAGTGTGTCACCTTGGAGGATGTGCGTGCAACTGGGGGTCCCTCTGAGCTTTCCATCCCAGCTGCTTGCACCCCTGAAGAAGCAACCTGCCTACCTCTTCAGCAGTGCAAGTGAACAGAGTGGAAACAACAAAGAAACATCTCCAGCTCTTCACTATTTTCTGTCATTATTTTCGTTGTGATCCCATAGATCACTTAGAAACCACAGATGACCCACAGCAATACCCAGTTCACAGCTGAATAAAAAAAATCTTGTTCAGTGGCTGAGACCTGGACAGAAAGAGATGCCTTGCCCTTGTGGCCAGGAAGAGATGCTGGCCTCTTTTGCTTTTCAAGATGAGAGCTTCTTCCTCCAAGATCGAAAAAAGGCCTCTTTGTGGTGTTTTTTTCCACACTTGGTACAGAAAGATACTGCAAGCAGATTTAGGGCATGAAGGTTATCCCATTATCTCTGCTAGTTTGAAGCCAAGTGGGCCTAGAGAGGAAAGGCAGGGAGTCTCCCACAGAGCAGCCCCAGCTCATTGTTCCATAATGTCTGCATCACTGCAGGGAAAGAGGCCTCTCCCAGCTAGCTGCCCACAACATCCTGTGCAAGCCTCCTGCATGCCTCTCACCTCTCCTCCAGCTCTTTGTTTCGCTCTGTGCAAGTTTCGAGGCGGCTTTGGCTCTCCAGCAGCTCCCCCAGCAGGGATGTCACCTGGGCCTTTGCTAAGGCCTTATCCTCCCCAACTTGCTGAAATGGGAAGAGGGCCAGGTCAATACACCTGCAGAGGGATGGACAGGAGCCTCCTGATTTGCTCCTCCCCAGCTTGCAAAGGAGAGTCCAAGGGCACATTCACCTCCAGCTGTTTGGTCAAAGTTTGCAGCTGCTGCTGGATCTCCTGCTCCCGGGCCGTCCGGCAGGCCTGCTCCTCCAAACTGGATGCCAGCTGTTGCCGAAGGGTTAAGCTTCTGTGGGTGGAACGAAACAAGGAGGGGCACAGATTCACCCAATAAACTTTATGGGCTTACAAATAACAGGCTTTACAGAGTTTGAACAGAAATACATAAAAACATCAAATTTAGGAATAAAAAATAAAATGGAGCAGGAAAATACCAGTACTAAAGTCTAAAAATTTAAATATTTAAGAATAATCACTTCCCTATAAAGTTATTTTGCTAAACTATTAAAGAACATGTTTAGTTATAATAGTATAAAATGACATCAAATTTAGATGGAGCTACCAAATTCCATCCTTTGTTTCTACTTAGGTTGAATGAAAATTTTGTCTTGTTTCACTATTTGTTCCCTAATGATAAGAGCTATGAAACACAATTTAGCAACTTTAAAAGTAATGCCGTTGCCTGAAAGAAGAAATGAAACTCAGAATTTGTCTAGTCTGCTCAGCAAATTGCTTAGAAGTGGAGTTAAATATAAGTGACAAATTTCATCATAAAACTGACACATAGTTTCAGCTGCTCCTGAATAACAGGGACAAAGCCTCTCTCTAACGTGGACATATTCGTATCCTCCTTCCAGTAAGGCTAAAGGCAGTGCATTTTGCAATAGTAAAATTATATATTTAGACAGGACAAAAGGTTTACTTCTCAAATCAAAGGAAGCTCCTAGCATTATCTTTCTGCAAATCAATATCCATTATTTGCTGTCTGAAAACTTATTTAGCTTCAGTAACCACCCCCTCCCTCCTCCAATACCAGGGCTGTTACAGACAGGACAATATTTTGAAATTTTGCCTCTAAGCTCTTCTTCCAAGTTGAGTAAAAGCTATCTAATAGAGTTAGCAGGACTAAACCCTCAGGGAAGAACATCAATTTGCTAATAGGTGATCTTACTCATCCAAAATTGTTTCAACTGACTTACAAACTGCGTACAATGAAAGGGTGACACTGGAGTCATTTCCTTGCCCTAACTAGGAAGTGTTTGTGATTCTCAGCTGAGTATCAATAAGCATTTGGCTAGTCTTATCTTTCTTTCTCATGAAAACACTGCATTTCCTTCAGTTGTGGTGGCCATCCAGGAGACAGTTACTCCTACTTGTCCCTTCCTCAAATGCCTGTTTGCATCTGGAATTTTTAGTCCTTGATCTCTCCTAACAGCATGCATACTTAACTGGCTGTTTCTGATAAAATACCAGTGCATCATTATCTACTTACTCATCTTCAGCCTCCTTCAGTCTTTTTTGCAGCTGTTCAATTTGTTTCCCACCAACGCTGTCTCTGAGGAGGAGGAGGAGGATTATTACATCTCTGCAGGCCATTTTACATTATACGCAAATGCTGTGGATATTGCAGGGTTTTGTGTAAATTAAAGACTCCAGTGCTAGGGACTGCATGGATGGAGGGCTGTATAGGCAACCTAAAAGGACTCTGGATAGTTCCAGTGTAGCATTGCCTTAGACTGAACTCCTAAGATGATCATCATCAGTTACATTTCTGCACATTCCTGTGAAATACAAGAGTTACTGAGAGAAAGGACATTTCCTGGGTGGCTCCCTGGCTTTGGAGCAATCACCCAGAGAGGGTTATCATTGTAACATATTTTTACCATCACCATTTTTGTCCAGCATTTTTAACTTTAGCTGGCTTCTTTTCTTTTGGCAGATATATTTGTGCATTTATTGTTATAAATTTACTGTTTGGGGCAGTTTATCTGCATTAATTATTTTATTGTACATTGAAAATAATTTATTGCAAACCACTCCATAATAGGGCATAAATCTTAATAATCAACAATACTGACAGATAAATATGTTAGGATGAGTATCCAGTCTAGTCTTCAAAGGTCTCGGGATACTTACTTGTCCCCTGAGCCCTGCAGGGACTCTACTTCCAGGGACTGCTCCGATGGAAAACCATTCTCCTAGGAAGGTAAAAGGGGGGTACATCATGAGTTCAGCCTCACCAGCTCCAGTTGTCATTCCTCATCTCTTAGGCCACTATCCTGAACCACATATGAACTCCCCCCCCCATTGTCCTCCCTTGTCCCATCATATATTCAGCTTCTTCTGCTGCCAATTCTCACTTTAATCTTTATTCTGAACTCTTCTACTGGCACAATGACCTTTGCAGTTCGTTGCAGTGTGGTGATCGTGGCCTGCAAGGCAAGTTTTTCTTTCTGTAAGGCCTGGTTGGCGTCTTGCAATGCCTTCAAGTCCTCTTCTGGCCTTTCCTTTTTCTGCTTTAGTATCCCCGATGTCTGAAATAAAAACAACAATGGGAAGAAGGAACATCACTGTGATGGGAAATTTAGTATAAGTCACTCACAGCAGGCAAAAAGATACAGCCTTAATCTATCTATGGGCTGAGACAGATGTAGAAAGACTGCAAATCTCTATTTTCTATACTATTTCTTTGGATCAATTACAAATTCTACTTGCTCATCTAGGTCAGTGTTCCGTTATGTGAAATTTTCCAGAGGTGCTGAACTACATTTCCAATCCAATCATGCTCAATCAGGATTTTCTACCCTAGTTAGAACTGCTGGAATTTGTAGATTAACATATCTGGAGGGTGCTAAATTAGAGAACTGAATAGAATGATAGACAACACATACTTACCACAGTAAGTACATCTTCCTCAGTAAGAGTCACAGTGTCAGGCTCCTCTTGGGTGCCAGAGGGGTCTTTCTCTGAGAGAAATGGTCGAGAAGCTGTCTGTGAAGAGGAACATAAAAATCTTAACCGATGTGACAGTTTTGCAAATTGCTTCAATGTTGTTTCTCATGCCAACATACACCACATATTGTAAAGAGACCTATTTTTTAGCAAGATACTTAAACTGGAACAAATGGCAACTATAGGAAGACCCCAAACTCTTAACCCTTCTGTATCCCCAACTGCACCCTGTTGCACCTTCAGTCGCTCTAGATCTTGAAAAGCCTGCTCCAACTGCATTTCCAACCCCATGCGTTCCACGTGCAACTTTTCCACCACAAGCCGAGCCTCCTGGAACTTGCTCATAATGAATTCCTTCTCCTCCTTTTTGGAAGCCTGGAACTGTACAAATTCCTGGTACCGTTCTCGTAGCATGTGGTTACTTTGTCGGATGGCTTCTACACACAGAACACAGACAAAGGAGGTTTACTGGATCAGTGTCCTATCTTCTTTATGCACGGAGGTGGGGGCACACTTATTACATTATGGGGCAATGATTGAATAAACAACAAATCCACCTTCCCATCAAAATCCCTCTTTACTCTGCAGGTTGTGTGCATTCTTCTGTAATGAGAATCCAGTTCTCAGTTTTAGTCACACAATCTCACGTCTCAGAACCAAGCTCCTGAAACTAGGGAAACACACCCAAATAACTAGGATTAGGCTATCAAAATCAAAAGGTTTGACAGATTAGAATTTCATCAAATATAACTCATCCATTCAGGATGCTACTCTCTTATTGGTCCCTTTTCTCTTTCCCTTCAGACTTAATCTTACTGCAGACCATCGGTCCTATTTCTCTTTCCCTTCCCATTCATCTTACTACAGACCAGATTCTTATTATAGGTGACAGCATTCTAATCTATTTTTATTCTTATCTACAAGCTATTGCTTTTAGACTGATACTGGTCAGACACTCTCCCACTGTAACATCAGCATTTATTACTTTATTTCTGCAATTTCCATCAGCAAGTTCAGTTGGAAGAGAACTATCCTCTCCTTCCCTGATTTATCCCTGCAATGCAGCCATTCATTTCTATCTGGAGTTGATTACATGAGTAGCACTTCTCCTTTGCAGGAGATTATATACAATGACAGACCTTGTAACTAGCTCTTGGCCAGCAGCCGCAGGCCAAAAGCAACTCTATCCAAATGACTTAGAGAGCTGGCAGGAAAGGGATGAAGTGCTCTGGACTGCTCTGTCCCTAGCAGAAAAACCAAGGGAGTCCTCGGGGTTCTCTGAGCTTGGTTGTTTTCTTGCAGATGTTTTGTTACCCGACTAGGTAACATCTTCAGTGCTAGAAGGGCGTGGGGTTTGCTCTCTGTTCATGTACAATAGCTTGCCCTGTTGGTGGGGCTGTGGTTTTATCCTTGGTAGTTCCTTGATTAGGCTGTTGTTTGCTGCTTGATTGCTTGTCTGAGTTGGTAGTTCCTTGATCAGGTATTGTTTATTGGTTGAGCTTACTGCCAACACTGACAAGGCAAGCTACGGTATATAAACAGAGAGCAAACCCCACGCCCTTCTAGCACTGAAGAGGTAACAAAATGTCTGCAAGAAAACAGCCAAGCTCAGAGAACCCCAAGGACTCCACAGTTCA